ACAGCTGGTGCTCTCATGCATGGTTCAGTGTTGCTTGCCTCGATGTGAGCATAGAATGCATTTAGCTCATCTGGTAGACTACCGTCGCTGGGCAGCTTGCGGCTGGGTTTCCCTTCGTAATCCTTGATAGTTTGCAAGCATGTCAACAGTTTTATTAAGATGAGAGAGGTGAGGTCAACTTTGTAGCAAACTCTATAGCAAACTTAAATGTAAAATTAAAGCACGACCAAAAAGCAATTAGGAGTCAAACATTGAATGAGTGTGTTAACTGATAAGATACCTTGTTTTGTTTACAAGCAGGTTGGTCTGTGAACTTTCCCTTTGATCAATGGAGGAAGTCAATGGGATTGATTTAGGTTGTACGGAGGTGAATTGCTATTTCTGTTCCTGGGGATGAATTGAGATTGATTGGGTCAGTTGGTGTTATTTAAGTCCTCTGATCTGGCAGTGACGTTGGTCCTCCTCAATCACTACTGCTTGACTGCTAGATTCAGAATAGGTAAGGCAATAATTTTCTGTGAGATTTTCCTGGTAATCTTGCTCATTTTCTAAACTTTTTTCAACACAGAAGAGATTAAGGAGGGAAGCTGTTGGAGGATGGTGGGTGTGTTGGGGAACTGGGGGTGGAGGGGTGGATAGGGTGTGAGCTCAGTGAGTTTTGAAGACGGGCTATGTGGGCAGAGGTAAGCCAATCTCAAAGGAGACAAGCGGGAACCAAATTGTGCCCCATAGCCAAGCGGAAATTGGCAGAGGAACAAGGGGAGGATTTTAAACCCCTTTACTTGCCCCTCTTTGGATGGATATTTATAGCATGAGGTTTCACAGCACTGAATAGTGAAAAAACCTTTTTTATTGTGCTATGGGCACACAGAACTGTCAAATAAGATTTGGCTTTCATCCTTGATGCTTTTGGTTGAGACGAGATTACATGATGCCGAATCCTAACTTTAAATAATTCATATTTTTTTAAACACAAACCCCAATATCAATGAATGATTTTACCAGTTTCAGTTATGTACTTATGACTCAAGTTGATAATCTGCCCAATGCAAGGATGAAAAATACATCAAACACTGTATATCCTAATCATAGTACATTGTTGAACAGTGCAATATCTATATCACTGCAGTTCTACCTGGTACCAGTGGTGCTTGTGTTATTGAATACCTAAAAATAAAGTATAAAATAGGTTACTATAACTGTGTAATAACCATTTTACCATGTCATATCATGTTCTTAGTGATTACCTGGTAATTGCTATACAATAAAGTTCCACCAAAGTTTGAATAGAGTGCAGAAGGGGAATGAAAACCAGATCCCAAGGGTATTGTGGTTTTTGCCTGCTAACATTTAAGATATGGTCTGACAACCCCCCTCCCCCTGTCTCAATCTATACTGATTGGCCTGGTGCACCCCTTTCAAATCCACCTCACTTAATCAGATCCATAACCTGCCAGTGGACACCAGCGCAGGCTATCCACCACAGCCCATAAAAAAAGAGATGTAGCATGAAATGGGGCCTTTTATCTGTGAGCTTGAAGACTGTCATTTAGACATCTGGAAAAATAAAACCCACAAAGAGACCAGAGGAATGAGTCACCCCTACTGGCCTTCTAACACCACTTCTATCTGATCTCTCATCCAAGGATTGACCAAGCCCAACTCTGTTAAGCTTCAGAGGCAAGCCAGCAGTGGGGATGGAAGGTGGTATGGCTACTAGTCTGTTGTCATCCATCTTCTCAAGTATTAGTAGATGCATTTTTCTGAGTAATTTTCTCTAGATGGTTGACTGAAGTGTGCAGATGTCACCCTAGCTTCCCATTATGCTATGTTTGCTGAGTGGAATATGTTTACCTAGCCTTATTTTCAGGGATCATTGAATTCTAGAGTGGGTTTACAATAGGTCTTCTTACTGTTAGAATAAGGGTAATGGTTTTGACTCATTTTGGGAAGGGCATAGATCTGAATCACAGTTTCCACCGGTCTCTGGGTGTCAATGTTGAATAAAATGCAGAGGGGCTGAATCATTTTGTGGCCTGACCGATTCCACAACTACTGACCCATCTTGTCTTCATGGCAGATATCACATTTTCATTGCAAATGCCTCAAATTCCCTGCCACACATTGAATGTTGATACCGCAAAGGCTGAATCAATCAGAGCATTTTAAAGTGGAGAGCTGACTTGCTTCTAATAGCGTAAGAGCCTGCAACAATTATACCTCTATCTGTGTGGCGTGTGCCAAGCAGATATGAATGAACTCCTTGTGTGCCGCTTAAAGTGCGCTTCCCATTTGGCTCAGCTTAATAGCTTTTTCCGGGTTGGATATTGAAGACCAAACTAACCCAGGCTGATGTGTATATGTGTGGATATTTTGTGATTGGTCTAGCACACTGCTCTCGCTGCCAAGAGGACACACTCTAATGAGCTCAATTTTGGTAAAATTATGAGATGACAAACACATCCTCCTTTTAGAATTTCAATGCAAAACATAATTTGCGTCAACATAATAACATGAACATATGTTGCAAATGTAATTAACTTCAACAGACTGTATTATGTTCAACATGACATGACTAAACATAATCCAACACCCATAATCCAACACTTTTGTGACAAGGACTATGGATTTACAGGACTAAGAAGAAAGGCTTATGTAAAGAAGAGTATTTATTAAAAGACCGATTTGGGGGGCTTTAGCAAAAGCGGTGTCACTCTGCACAATTAACATAGCAACAGGAGTTTGCTCCTATTATGTGCCTGCCGAGTCTGACGCACACAAACACTGTTTGTTAACAAGGCCCGGTTAACTTGTCAGATTTTTGGATACAATACATGGCGGTGACTTTTTGACACCCAAAATGATTCATAAATTAACCTCCTTTATACATTATAATATATTATGAAATATTATTCACATTAGTCATGTCATAAACTAAACAAACGTTAATTTGATGCAAAAAAGTATATGTAGGCGTACAACTGTATATAGGCTATTCTACTAGAAAAAGGCATATGGTTTATCTAAACTGAAAACATGACGCCTTATCTGTGCACTGTTCCTCTGTGTATAGAAGTGCGTCACAAACAAATATCTATTTGCAAGCTAATCTTAGAGCTTCAGGGAGAGGGGATCATAATCTCCTCCTCAAAGAGATGCATTCACAAAGAAGCGAGTGAGAACATGTTTTAAACTCTAAGGGGTGGTTTCCCACACACAGATTATGCCTAGTCTTGGACTAAGAAACACTTTCAATGGAGAACATTCATTGAACAAGCGTTTAAGTGTAGGACGATGCTTAATCTGTGTCCCGGAAACCGACCTTAAATGCCAAGTTCCAAATTCCTTACAAAATGTAGTACAGTAAATACACAACTGACTGTTCATGGTAGGCTATTCACTGAAGAAATTCTGAAAATACACTATATATACACAAGAGCATATGGACACCCCTTCAAATTAGTGGATTCAGCTATTTCAGCCACACCTGTTGCTGACAGGGGTATAAAATAGAGTACACAGCCATGGAATCTCCATAGACAAACAATGGCAGTAGAATGGCCTTACTGAACAGCTCAGTGACTTTCAACGTGGCACCGTCATAGGATGCCACCTTTCCAACAAGTCAGTTCATCACATTTCTGCCCCAGTCACCTGTAAGTGCTGTTATTGTGAAGTGGAAATGTCTAGGAGAAACAAAGGCTCAGCCGCGAAGTGGTAGGCCACACAAGCTCACAGAACGGGACCGGCGAGTGCTGAAGCGCATAGCGCGTAAAAATAATCTGTCCTCGGTTGCAACACTACTGAGTTCCAAACTGCCTCTGGAAGCAATGTCAGCACAATAACTATTCATCGGGAGCTTCATGAAATAGGTTTCCATGGCCGAGCAGCCACACACAAGCCTAAAATCACCATGCGCAATGCCAAGTGTCGGCTGGAGTGGTGTAAAGCTCACCACCATTGGACTCCGGAGCAGTGGAAACACGTTCTGTGGAGTGAGGAATCACACTTCATCTGGCAGTCTGACGGACCAATCTGGGTTTGGCGGATGCCAGGAGAACGATACCTGCCCCAATGCATAGTGCCAACTGTACAGTTTGGTGGAAGAGGAATAATGGTCTGGGGCTGTTTTCATGGTTCGGTCTAGGCCCCTTAGTTTCAGTGAAGGGAAATCTTAACGCTACAGCATACAATGACATTCTAGACAATTCTGTGCTTCCAACCTTGTGGCAACAGTTTGGAGAAGGCCCTTTCCTGTTTCAGCATGACAATGCCCCCGTGCACAAAGTGAAGTCAATACAGAAATGCTTTGTCGAGATCGGTGTGGAAGAACTTGACTGGCCTGCACAGAGCCCTGACCTCAACCCCATCGAACACATTTTGAATTAATTTGAACGCTGACTGTGAGCCAGGCCTAATCTCCCAACATCAGTGCCCGACCTCACTAATGCTCTTGTGGCTGAATGGAAGCAATTCCCCGCAGCATTGTTCCAACATCTAGTGGAAAGCCTCCCTAGAAGAGTGGAGGATGTTACAGCAGCAAACGGGGGACCAACTCCATATTAATGCCCATGATTTTGGAATATTGTTTGACGAGCAGGTGTCCACATACTTTTGGTCATGTAGTGTATAACCAACTTTCCAGACCATTTTAACAAATGTATTCAGTTTTGTTTATTACAATAATTATCAGTCAGATAATATATTCAAATATCAAACTGCCCATGGCTGTATTCTATACACTAGCAAAGACCACTAGAGCAAATATTATACTGTAGGGCACTTGCTTGGCAGCATAATGGGCTTCCTACATAGGTAAATTTCTCTTACTTACATAAGGAAATCAACGCTGAGCAACTCAATATCAAAGTGAATACAAACACTGAAGAGCAAACAAAAGGATGCAAAACAGCAGGGATTGGTCAATTGAATTGAATATCCCAAAGAGGAAACATAACTTAGTGCGCTTGGTTTGTTAAGCACTTTTCCAGATCAGGACCATGGGGAGCTCCATGCAGTTGACGAGAGCGGTAGTTTGTGCTTCGCTGCTGTCTATACTGTGTGGTGCTGAAACGAGTGACTCTGAAATTGAAGTAGATTTGGAAACAAGAAACAATCACGACTTCTATCCACAAAAACCGAATTTAAGGAACGAAAAACGTCTTGTAAGTCTAGCTATATTGTTTCTCTAAACTATGCATATGCTGATGTCCGCAGGCAGCTTTTGGCATTTACATTCTTCAGGACTACCTAGATAAATAAAGACCGGGCTAAATTACTCTACATACAAAATGAAACGCACATTGTTCCAGAGACCATAATTGGTGTAATTTATTGGTGGTAAATTATCTGTCCTCAAAGTGTGAAATGTATAGGTTAAAGGACTATTACGTAAACTACACAATGAAAAGACAGACTAGTCAAAACCTGGAAGTGCTGTAATAGCTTGTGCATTTCATACTGTTTCGACAGCTTGGAGCTCTACATGAAGTTCTAGAAAAACTGCAGACCAAAAGAATTAATCCATGGGAAAAGAAATTTGGCCAAGTTCCCACGGTAGGATTCTAGTCTTTCTCTTCAGTTTAAATGCAATGTATTATTTTTGGTAAATGAGGAATAATTAGCAAATGCAGAATGACAAGATTAATACTTTTATTATGGTCAACTGTTCTGTAAGTAGTCTTAACTAGGTTATTGTAAGGTCTTCTCAAATATGTAGTTGGATTATTTCATAAATGCGAACTGCTTTACAGGATAATATTGTAATCTACATTATCTTCATTGTTGTAATGTAACATTACCTTTTTCAGTGCGAAGCGGGGGAGCATTGCGCGGTGAGGAAAGGCGCGCGAATCGGAAAAATGTGTGACTGTCCACCGGGAGCTTTCTGCAACTTCTTTCTGTTGAAGTGCTTGTGAATGCAGGTTACTGGACCTTTCATTGTTATTTAAGGGGCAGAAAAATGTAACGTAATTTTTAAATATATATTTTTCAAATACAGTTAGACTATAGTCAATGTTATGGTGGGACGGGACCACCAATGAGATAACGGTACGTCTAAGCGCGTCGCTGAGTTTGATGAAACATTTTGTCACCTAAATGTAACCGACCTCTCCATATTGTACATTAAAGTGTCATAACGTCTTTCGTAATCAGCCTTCTTGGTCTCAGAATTCTCAGTTTCTAGTCTTTCGTTTCTCATGAAAACGTTAGATCTTTGTAAAATGTAATATTTATAAATGCATCATGAAGCCTATGTTATAAAGGCTAAGTAATATAGAAACAAGAAATGTGTTTATATCATGCGGTTCTTGTGATAAGATCTTTTGGAGCATTTCAACAACCATACCTCAAACCACTGGGCCTTTAATTTCTTGACATGGTTTTCTGTCATGATATTTTAAAAAAGTGCATGTTCGAAATAAGGCTTAAAGCAAAGTCTTCAGCCTGGGTGCAAGCAGGAGAACTAAGTGAAAATGAGTCAGGTTCAAAACTTAATTGACATAAAAATGTACTTAGTCGTTTCTTTTTCATAAACTACTAATTTAACTGGTTCCAAATAATGGAATTTAATCATGTCTTTCGATGTTCACAAAATTTAAAGATGCCATATGATCTTAGAGGGAACTGACAGTTTTAAACTTTAATGGGTCAAAAGGAATGCTTGTTCTAATCCACTATATCCAAAACCCTACAATGATCTTAACAGTACTGACTCAAGCATGCTCAATTTTAAAAGTTATGTTAATCTCACACCGGACTCACTTCACAATGCTGCTGTAGTAGAGTGTGTAATACTAGACGTATTTATAGGAACCCAACCTTATTGCACAAAGCCTGCAATGACAGGTCAATTGAATCAAGCATATGAACGAGGACTAAGCACTTATCCAATTCAATTCACATTTTCCCACATAGCATGATTATTGCTTTCCCCTTTCTGAAAATGGTTAAAATCCCAATTCTCCTGCAGTGTGCACTCGTGCGTTTCTACTTGTTCTAAACCAGGGCTGGGCAACTCCAGTCCTCTGGGGCCAGAGTGGTGTCACACTTTCTCCCCATCCCTAGCAAACACAGCTGATTAAACTAATTGCATTCTAAACTGAAGATAATGATTAGTGGAGTCAGGTGTGGTAGCTGGGGCTGGGGATGAATTGTGACACCAATCCAGCCCCTGAGGACTGGAGTTGACCATCCCTGTTCTTAACAGCAACACCACTAGGAAACATTGCTTTTTGTGTACTTTTTATTATTATTAAGCAATATTACAAATGCCTAGACTCCTCTCGGTGTCTTGAAGTTCATTCCGACAGTTGGCTGGGTGACTTGCAGGTTTGACAAACTGCCGAAGTCCTGGAGGAAAGAGGAAGATAAAATCAAATTTAACCATCAAGTAACCATCAGAATACACCACAGGTTAATGCTAACAATGTAAATCGCAGAAGACTGGTCTCGTATCGGCAAGTAGTTTCACGCTGAAGTTAATACTAGGGAGGACGTGGAAGATATTTGAAAGACACAGGGTTTGACAGGAACTGGTATTCCAACAAACATGGGAAAATCTAAAAGTCATGGTTCATGTACTATCAATGACTATGGCAACAATCATGCCATTGTCACTTTTGATACAGGGTTAAAACCAAGGTGTCATCTTCTGGCTAAACATACATTCATTATCAAGACACTAAACGTAGCTGCCTGTGAGGGACTTACCAGTAGCTTGAGCATCTCCTTGGTGTCTGGGTCGACCTCAATTATCTCCTGGTCGAGAGCAGACACCTGGAAACAAAAACAAAGATTTAGTTACTGTGCTAATGGTATGTCAGCGCTGTCCACCAAACACTATTAATAGTGTGTATATTAAACAGGCAACACTGTCAGTTAAATATGACACCAATTCAACAGCGAATACAGCAGTTACTGGCTACCCGGGGCAAGGTTTGCGGTCTTAACACATTGTTTAAAAGATACAGGGTTTGACAGGAACAGGTATTCCAACAAACACGGGAAAAGCTTTCAAGATTACTATTCCTGTACTATCAATGACTATGGCAACAGTCATGCCATTGTCACTTTCGATACAGGGCTAATCAAAGAGAATTTCAGACTGATTCAAAAGGTATCACATCCCATCTATAGACTGAAGATACCCAATGGGAGCAAAGCAAGACGATCGTTGATGACTAAAAGCAGTTTGAGAATGCATCTTATGGTGCCTAGGCAAAGTAGAAGCATGCATAGCTATCACAGCTTGACATTAACGCTTGTCCACTTGCCCAGGGCAAGAAAATAAAATAGTCAAACAAGAAGAATATAGCTTTAAGTTGACCAAAAGGACAAGTTAAAAAATGAGAAGAAAAAAAGTCAAAACCAGAATATCAAACAATTAGGCTACTCCAATCAGAATTGGATCAGTGTCTTCCGGATGAAATTATTGTAGACCTGCATTGACAGGCACGAGCAGTCTTTCAAATCATGCAGTCAGTCACAAGATGCGTTTTTGAGAAAGCGAGATACGCGTGTGCACATTTGTTGATATTCATTGCGAGTTTGTGAGTTATTTGCCCAGTTATAGCTCATTTTGGGTCAGCAATGAAAATCCTGGAATAGTCATGGTGTGCCAGTGGGCCGTTGCCAGAGGAGAGCGAGACATTTACGCAGCAGGTAAAATAATGATACAGCGCTAAGATTCTCCTCTACTTAATACTGGCCATGTTATTCTGACAAAGTTAAACAAATATATTCTTAGAATAGCCTAATTGACAAGTAACTCCAATGCTGTCAAGAACTGAACACAATATTTTAACCTTACACATAGATTAACATCTTAGTTAGCTACCTCGCTCACCTTAGCCATTTGATCCCTGGTTCATTGAATGAGGGAATTATTTTATAAAGACAAAAGTATTTGGTTGTAATTGTAATGTTGCAGGGTGGCCAACCCTCCTCCAGGAGATTCCAGGAGAGCTACTGGGTGTGCAGGCTTTTGCTCCAGCCCTGCTCAAACACACCACATTTTAGAAAACAGCTGTTCAACAAGACCTTGATAAGCTGACTCTGGTGTGTTTGAGCAGGGTTGGATCAAAAGCCTGCACACCCAGTAACTCTCCATATGAAGGGTTGACGGATCACGTGTTTTATACATTAGCCTATCGGTGCAGTATTTTACTTTGTGGGGGGGGGGGGTTAAGTGCCTTGTTCAAGGCCACAACGGCAGGAGATACTGTACAATACATGGCATCAGAGACCAGCAGCCTTCCATTGTCAATACCAGTGATAATATTGAATGTTACAATGAATAAAAATATAAACGCAACATGTAAAGGTGTTGGTCCTATTTTTCATGAGCTGAAGTAAAAGATCCCAGACATTTTCTATACGCACAAAAAGCTTTTTTTTTCAAATGTTGTGCACAAATTTGGTTACATCCCAGTTCGTGTGCATTTATCTTTTGCCAAGATAATCCATCTACCTGACAGGTGTGGCATGTCAAGAAGCTGATTAAACAGCATGATCATTACACAGGTGCACCTTGGCCTGGGGACAATAAAAGGTCACTAAAATGTGCAGTTTCATTAGAGATTGACATTTCCCAGCTATACGCCACAAGCACCAAAACAGATTTGGCTAGTCCATTGTCATTAAGACTCCTCTAGCCTGTTCCTACTAGGAGCGAGTAACTTAACATATGCCACTGAAAACAATTACCCGAACCAACTTAAAAGTACAGTGAGTGCGTGCATTTTTTTGTATGTGTACTGTGGGAATTTAACCCACAACCTTGGCGTTGTCTGATGCTCAGAGGTATGGGTGCAGGGCCTAGAATTAACACCTGCCACCAGCCAAATGCGGGTAGATTTTAGCATCGGTGGGTAAGAATGTCTAATTCGGTCACACTCTGGGATCTACAGTGCAAGCATTTCATAAAAATTGTCAAAAGACAAGTATGAGCACGTGCGAGTTGTGATTTATAGCTAAATAAATGCGGCAGTAGCTGTTTTCAAAGTATTTCAGCAGTTTTCTTTCTTATCTGGTAATGCACAAAGAAATATGAATCATAACGCTATAGCTATCCCACCACGAGCGGCACCACTGCCTGTCTGAGGGGCTGTGCGCTCTGAGGGGCTGTGCGCACTGAGTGAAGTGCTGAAGCAATGGTCTAATTTACTTGAAAGTCTAGTGAGACTTTGTCCTTGTGTTTCTTGGCTATTTACATTGTTTTGTTCACAAGCTAGGTTGCTTTTCAATGTTTGAGTTTGCTTTTACTGCTAGCAAAGAGACATTGTCAGCCTTTACTAGTGAGATTCTCACAGGCACACATGACTGACGGCCCCATTACCATGGTAACCTTAAAGGGGCAGTTGACAATGTGTCTGATATTTTTGTTAAAAGGTCAGAGAATATTAAATTCAGCAATATACCACATTACTTCTTACTACTAATACATTTCTTGTTTTAGAAACATTGCTAAGCAATTTCATCCATTTTTTTTGGGGGGGGGGGTTAGTGTAAATACGGGCCAAAAATATTTTGGCTGGTAAAAACTGTGGCTGGTTGATTAAAAAAAAAATCTAAAGTTGAAAGTTATTTTTAGGCCCTGTGTGGGTGAGGGGCACGCTTACCTCTGGGACGTAGTTGTCCCTCCTCTCCCTCTCCTCCTCCTGGAGCTTGATGGAGATGCCTCTGACGGGGCCCCTCTGGATGCGCTTCATGAGATGGGTCACATACCTGAGGACACAATCAAGAATCCAGTTAATTCACATTCAACTTCACAATTGTCACAGCATTGGATCACACCATGGGTTCAAGCAACGACAACAAAAAGCTAGATCACTAAAAACTAGCCTAACATGAGAATGAGGTCTCACACAAGTTTAGATTGTTGCGGATGTGGAAGATGTTTGAAAGATACAGGGTTTGACAGGAACAGGTATTCCAACAAACACGGGAAAAGCTTTCAAAAATCACTGTTCCTGTACTATCAATGACAATGGCAACAGTCATGCCATAGTCACTTTCGATACAGGGTTTTAAGTGGCAAACTAGCAATAATACGCTAGGTCAGGGATATGATAGAATGAAGGAGTCCTGGCTGTCTTTCACCCATGCTATTACAAGTAGTGTTGAAATCCAATCTGATTGAACTGCAGTATAGTCAACGTTACATGAACAAATGTAATGAATGAGCTACTTCAGGGTTGACCAATACGTTTTATGTTTACATTTTAAGCCCAAATTCAATCCATAGGCAACACCAGCCACAAAAAACACTGCATAAACTAGCCTCTTAGAATCCTATAGTGAAATACTTACTCGTCTCTATCATGTAGGCTCTGCATTCCCGAACAATCCCATTACAAGTCAGAATCTTGAACAAACTTAATTTCAACTTTACCTGTCTGCTGATTTTGATTTTGTCCCCATGTCCACAGGGAAGCGTCATCAACCCAACCTTCAGTACGCTGGTCTGTTTATCGTTTTTTTGCATGCGACAAACACTTGCACAATATGGCTGACCCTAACCGAACGTTGTCCCATGCAATCAGCTGCCAAATTTCACAAACAGTTCCAGCCGATGGCGAGGAAACGTGCTTCGGTCGACTACAAAGTGATAGTGCTTCATCCCATAGCATCCATCAAGATCTCAGTACAAAGGGGAAACCCCTAAACAATCCATCTCATACACAACCACCTTAAACATATTTATGTACATGCCACCCCATCTCATCCACAAATACAAAATACCCACCTGCCCACAAACACTACCATTGTGTGCTCGAACTACATGTAATGTTATTATTATTATTATGTAATGGTCGTCCTTTAAAAAGACTGCATACAGCCAAATCTGAGTTTTTCAAAGTCACTGCTCTAAAGATTGAATCTTCTCAAAGGCCAGTGGTGCCACCAAGATAAATGGTTGAGAAACACTGCTCACTTGGTCACCTTCTTTGCTCCACTCAGAGACCATATGTCTAAAGAAAGACTCACCCAGCTATCTTGTTGCGGAGCTTCTTGCTGGGGATGATGGCGATCTCCTCGCACACCCTCTTGTTGGTATGGAAGTCATTTCCCAGCCGGGTGTAGTACTTCTCAATGATGACCCGGGCGGCCTTTTTCACCGTCTTAGTCCTGACTCGTCCCTGTGGAACAAAGTTGTGCAAATTACGTTTGGTTTCCCGAATGATCAGAATGGCCCAAATTCTCTGAATGTATGTCTGAGAGAACCAGGGTTCAATAGGGACTGAGGACCCATCAAACACGGGAAAGCCTCTCATTTCACTTTTCCTGTACTATCAATGACCTGGCCACTTAAATCAACGCCATAGCCACTTTCGATACAGGGTTCAATGTAAGAAATTAAAGTTTAGAAGCTGCTGAAATTGTAGGAGGTATCAGTATTCCCACAGCAGACATGCAACCTACATTTGACTCTACTAACTAGATTTGCAAAGACGTAAGTAGCTAGCCCACTTCTTCTTCGATGAGGATTAACAGTGGTTGGCATCCAATAAATGTTGCATTACCGCCACCTTCTATACTGAATGTAACTCCCTTATACTTTGCTTAAAAAAATTAATAATAATACCCTACCATTTAACACTACACTAACAACACTTATGTATCACGAACGAAATTAATTTCCTACACACAGCTGAAACCAAGATGCAACACCACTAACCACACAGTGGATGATTGTGCAACATTGAAGGCATTGCCAGTTCTCTCTACTGATTCTAATAAAATCAAGACATGGAAAACGAGGCTGTTCATTGACAGCCAAATGCCAGCGTACTGCTTCTTCCGTTAGCTTCTCGGAGAACACTCCACAAAACATTGTTCATAAAAACTGCCAGGAACGGCATTCTAACTCAATATGTCCATGTGATTGAGTAATACATCCAACAATTTACTATTACGGAGCTAAATACCATTACGGCTGCTTAAAAAGCGACGATTAAGATAGATTTAGCGGGGTCGTAACAATTTGAGTACCCACCATATTGAATCGGCCTGGTAGAAGAGGCCATACAAGCGCTTGAGCGGAAGTTTAATAAGAGGGCATGCGAAACTGGGAAACCAAGGCTAAAAAAAGGTTGCTGGCCCCTAGTGGTGGAGGAATTCGTTAAAGAAATATCAGACTTGCTTAATTTATTACGGAAGGATTACTGTAGGCTACCTAAAATATTCCCAAATGTTTTACTTTTATAAAATAAAAAGTTGCACACTATAAGCTTCCAGTAATTTATTGGGTAAACCAACGTTTTGGGATCACACTGCTTGGGATCCCGTGAAGAAGGCACTGTGATGCCGAAACGTTGGTGGTTTACCCAATAAATTGCTGGGAGCTTATAGTGTGCAACTTTTTATTTTTTATATCCTACACGTCCTTATAATTTAACACTTTGTTCTAGTGTACAGTGTATATAAGTGAAAGGGATGTGCAGTATTCCCATGTTCATACTCACAGTCACCTTTTTACACCTCCAGTTCATTAACATGTTTTTGGAATATGCTTACAAAGGACTGCACATTTTACACAATGCAATACATTGCAACATGGTCACCCCTCACCAACCCTGGTCCTGGAAAACTATAGTGTGCAGGCTTTAGCTCTAACCCAGTACTGAAACAATTGATTCAACTAATGAACTGCTCATCAAATGAAACTTGTGCATTTAAGCATCCCAATAGACAATCAAAAACGTAATTAATTGAATCAGACTACACAATCTTGTGTATTTCTAGGACAGCAAGAAGTCAGCTGAACAACGACAGAAACACAGGGCCAAGAGTAAAGGTTAAGAGAGATTTTTATTTTACATAGAAAACGGGTGCAAACTTGAGTTATTTTAAGTGTGGAGGGAATAAAAAGTGAAATTTCTGAAAGGTCCCATGACACGTTTCACTTGAGGCCTCTGGGAAGTAGGCATTTTACAAGAGTCCAAACCCTTTTTCTTTCTCCCCCCCAAAAAAGGAAATCAAAAATCTGAAAAAAACAAGAGGGGTTTTTCACGTTAGGAGCCCTTAACTAGGTTAAAGCGTTCAAATACATTTTGAAGTAACATTCATGTTTCAACACAATAATATTCATAATACAATTTTAAGACTTGATTCTTATATTCATAGCTTTGAAACCATTACCAGAGAACGAGACATAAGCTCTCATAGCACTGTACAAGTTTGCGTTCCACAGCTTTGAAGAGGGAGAAAATAAAACAGTTTGAGAAAAAAGTCTCAAATTTGAACATAAAAACAAAATCATCAACTTGACATAATTTACTATTAAAAATAATCAGTATTATATTGCAGTCTTTTCTCTAACCACTGGAGATCTACAGTATATAAGCAACTCTGAAAGTAATGTCAGAAACTCTTCACTTGAGCAGTCTTTGCAGCTTGTGCCATACACAGTTCTGTAGACAAATGCAAGCAACCGTTGATAAATGGTCTCTCAAATACTGAGAAAGTGCAGAGATTGTCTGGAATGACAGTGAGAATGAAAAAGGAACCAGCAACGAGGAGAATTGTAATTAATGCCCTGGTGGGCCTGCTTCATTTAAGCAGGACAGTATTCTTTAAATTCACAAAGCATACAGTGCCTTGCAAAAGTATTCATCCCCCTTGGCATTTTTCCTATTTTGTTGCATTACAACCTGTAATTTAAATTGATTTTTATTTGGATTTCATGTAATGGACATACACAAAATAGTCCAAATTGGTGAAGTGAAATGAAAAAAATTACTTGTTTCAAATCATTCTAAAAAATAAATAAAGGAAAAGTGGTGCGTGCATATGTATTCACCCCCTTTGCTATGAAGCCCCTAAATAAGATCTGGTGCAACCAATTACCTTCAGAAGTCACATAATTAGTTAAATAAAGTCCAATCTAAGTGTTACATGATCTGTCACATGAGCTCAGTATATACACCTGTTCTGAAAGGCCCCAGAATCTGCAACACCACCAAGCAAGCAGCACCATGAAGACCAAGGAGCTCTCCAAACAGGTCAGGGACAAAGTTGTGGAGAAGTACAGATCAGGGTTGGGTTATAAAAAAATATCTGAAACTTTGAACATCCCACGGAGCACCATTAAATCCATTATCAAAAAATGGAAAGAATATGGCACCACAACAAACCTGCCAAGAGAGGGCCGCCCACCAAAACTCACAGACCAGGCAAGGAGGGCATTAATCAGAGGCAACAAAGACACCAAAGATAACCCTGAAGGAGCTGCAAAGCTCCACAGCGGAGATTGGAGTATCTGTCCATAGGACCACTTTAAGCCGTACACTCCACAGAGCTGGGCTTTACGGAAGAGTGGCCAAAAAAAAGCCATTGCTTAAAGAAAAAAATAATCAAACACGTTTGGTGTTCGCCGAAAGCCATGTGGGAGACTCCCCAAACATATGGAAGAAGGTACTCTGGTCAGATGAGACTAAAAATTTGCTTTTTGGCCATCAAGGAAAACGCTATGTGTGGCGCAAACCCAACACCTCTCATCACCCCGAGAACACAATCCCCACAGTGAAGCATGGTGGTGGCAACATCATGCTGTGGGGATGTTTTTCATCGGCAGGGACTGGGAAACTGGTTAGAATTGAAGGAATGATGGATGCAAGAAATACAAGAAAATTCTTGAGGGAAATCTGTTTCAGTCTTCCAGAGATTTGAGACTGGGACGGAGGTTCACCTTCCAGCAGGACAATGACCCTAAGCATACTGCTAAAACAACACTTGAGTGGTTTAAGGGGAAACATTTAAATGTCTTGGAATAGCCTAGTCAAAACCCAGACCTCAATCCAATTGAGAATCTGTGGTATGACTTAAAGATTGCTGTACACCAGCGGAACCCATCCAACTTGAAGGAGCTGGAGCAGTTTTTCTTTGAAGAATGGGCAAAAATCCAGTGGCTAGATGTGCCAAGCTTATAGAGACATATCCCAAGAGACTTGCAGCTGTAATTGCTGCAAAAGGTCGCTCTACAAAGTATTGACTTTGGGGGGGTGAATAGTTATGCATGCTCAAGTTGTTATTTTTTTGTCTTATTTCTTGTTTGTTTCACAATAAAACAGATTTTGCATCTTCAAAGTGGTAGGCATGTTGTGTAAATCAAATGATACAAACCCCCCAAAAAATCAATTTTAATTCCAGGTTGTAAGGCAACAAAATAGAAAAAATGCCAAGGGGGGTGAATGCTTTCGCAAGCCACTGTACCAATAAAATAACTTTGTGCTTAAAACCAATGAGAAGACCTCAGGTTGAATTAATCTACGCCTAGATGCAGTATACAGAAGGAATGAGGAGGATACAACCGGCCAAAGCCATCTGACTCAGTGTCATCTTCTGGTTGCTGATGGAGAGGGTAAAAAGCCATGCCCCCTCTGTAGCATCTAGATAATTTAGACTTTTCATATGTACATGTTACACAAACATTGGCAAACATATGTTGATAAAGTAAGTGGTTCCCAAAATAAAAAGGAAGAACAATAATAAGAAAACAATAACTTTGGTGGTTGGGATCAAGCAAGACAAGCAGGTCTAGAATTCTTAATGAAAGAAACAATCATCAGTAATCATAAGCAATATTACTATAGTAGAAGCCTCTTGAATGCTCAGTCACCTAAATGCTCCAAAGCAAAATAATAATATTTAATTGAATGTTAGAAATACGATAACTATACAAATTCAGAGATGGTATGGTTGTTACACAAGCATAACATGGCAAATATCTTTTGGGGAATGGTTTTTCAAAAGCACTTGCAATGATCCAGCTAACCCACCGAATGGGTCTAAAATGGCACCATCTTAAGAGCAGAGAATAGGCCTCATGTTTCCAACACGCTAACATTTCAGCGCCCCTGGCACCAGAGAAAGGCTAGAGGTCAACAAGCTGGCACTGGGGAGCAAAGACTGACGTGAGAGAACAAAAGGGAGAAACGGAATGAGAATGTGTGTGTGTGGTGAGAGTGACAGTAATGGCTTTTCTTTGAGGTATACATATATTCATAGTCAGAGCATCCTAATACAGTGAGTGACATCTCAAACAAACCCTGCAGTTGGAGGGGGCTATGTTAACATGTCATGGAGCAATGGGAATGTAAGGCTTCAAAATAACCTACAGTGGAATCAGAAGGCTGTATGGGCAAATATAGAAATATATAGTGCCACCAGGGGCATGTGGGACTGAGGTGAACAACAAGCCAGTGGAAGTCCTCTGTCCTTTCAAGAAACCCTAGGGTCAGCACCCCCATGCTGCACCAGCCTCATAGCAAGTCAAAAGTCCTGGTATGAACACTGTCCTTTCCCCGTTTCCTTTAAGTAATCACTAATTAGATATGACTGGACAGGTGGAAACCATGAGGGAAAAGCCATCACCTGTCTAATCATGTTAGATCCAGAGGAGGCTGGTGGGAGGAGCTATAGGAGTACAGTGTAATGGCTGGAATGGAATAAATGGAACAGTCAAACATGTGGTCTCCATATGTTTGATAGTGTTCCATATATTCCATTCCAGCCCTCAACAATGAGCCCATCCTCCTATAGCACCTCCCACCAGCCTCCTCTGGTTAGATCAGTAATTACTTAAAGGAAGGGAGGAAGTTCCCAACAACGAGTTGAATGAGAGCGAAACGGAGAAAAGGCGAGAGAAGACGACAGCCCTAGACTTTTACCCACTTCACAATTAGCCTGGTGTGGTCAGCATTGATGTCTAAAAGTCTAAATGACAGGTGGGTAAATCAATCAATCAATTGACCAACCATGAATAAAGAACATTGCTCACATGCACATAATTTAGTCCGACAATGGCATGAGAGTAAATCCTGACATTCCACT